GGGTGGACACTTGAAACCAAAAACCGCAACCGAAACACTAACCAAATCAAACCAAACCGAACAGTTTGGTTTTGCAGTTTCAAAACGGTTTCGGTTTGAAACCGAACCGAATAGGGGAAAAACGATTTGGTTTCGGTTTCGGCCCTCCGAAACCGAAATCGAACCGAAACCGAAACCGCATACCTTTATTAAATGTTAAATTTTAATTGGTTATTTTCATTGAGTCCATACATTTAGTATGGACTCAACCACATCTTAACATGGCCACATAACATAACTTTTTATTTTCTTTCTTCTAGTCCCGTAGTTCATGGACTAAGACTTTGTGATCTCTTTCTCAAGTTTATTCATCTGTTTCCAGTCTCCTGGTGGACTAAGACTTTGTGCTCTCTTTCTCAAGTTTATTCATCTGTCTCCAGTCTCCTGCACTCTTCTTCCAGTTCCAAACGCTGTCTCTCCCTTCGGCCTCATTTCCTCTTCATTCCAGGCTTTCCATCTCCTAGCTTCTAAATTTCAGAGTGCTAATATGGTAAGAACTATGATTTATAACTTGTTTTAGTTAAATTTACTTATATATTTGAGATTAATTTTAGGGTTAGGTTTAGGGTTGGGTTTTGAATCAAAAGGGGATTTGGTTTTTCGTTGGTTAGTCTTTGATTTTTCTTTGTTCAAGAACATTAGAATGTCAATTGAAAGCATATATGATATTTGCATATTGTAGGGAGGTACTAGTTAATGTCGTGAATGATTCAAAATTTCGTAGAAAATTCTGTATTTTTACCTAGAGTCTTTAACCTTGGTCCTAAAAGGCTCAAACTGCATCCTGATTATCCTGGGGTGACATGGAAGACTGAAAATGTTGTTGAACGAATGGGTTTTAATGCTTGTTTTTTTTGTTTTGTAGCTTTGTTTTTACTATTTATTGGTGAAGCACCTGGATTGTGTATTGGATATAAGCAATGTTATGATACCATTGAAATTATTAGTTATTTATTTTCTAGTCTCTGCACATACATATAAGTTCTTCAAATGAATATGCAATACAGTCCTTTTTTTCTAATTTTGGTATCTACTGATTGTCATATTTCTTTTCCTCTCTTTTATGTTGTTGCAGTTAAATGCTGATAAAAGTCATTTCCAACGAACATTTGTTAATCAGGTATATACTTGGATTTGATTAGAACTACAATTGCATTGCATTTGTTAAGACTCGATTGTGCATGGCATGCCCCCTTTACTTGTTATTTACCAGAAGATAGCAAGGTATGGAATTACACTAGAATAGTATTTTGTTGTCATCAACTAGGTAACGTGAATTTGTGGTATCAGACCTAAATTAATGCCAATTGTGAATTTGTGATGCAGCGAGGCAAGGAAGTCATTAAGCAGACCGCATGTTGGGCAAGTCCTTAATAATCTCATCTAAAATTATTTAGAGTTCGGTTGCCAGAAACAAGTAGTTTATTTGGATGTCTAGAGAAAAGTAAATTCAAAATGGAAGAAGATGGATGGCCTAAACGAGAGTGCCAGACATCACGACCAACACGAACACCAAGGAAAGCAGCACGACCATGAGCAAACGGTGATGAGGATGAAAATGGATAAAAACCATTGCTACTCTTGCCTGAAAAAAGAATTTACCCCGTCTCCATTTTCTGAATATAGAAACAAGTGGGAAACAATGTAATATAACAATTGTTATCCAATATAAAGCGATTAGCAGACAACACAAAAGTAGAAGCATCTGGACAATGATGAACAATATTAAGCTTGAACGAAACATTATTATGAGATAGAGTTGATGAGCCAATATGGTTAATAGGCAAACCTGTACCGCCAACAACACCACCGACGGAATCACTATCACGATAGTCATGGGATTGAAACAAGGTATTGAGGTCATTGGTGATATGTGAGTTGGCCCTGGAATCAATGAGCCAAGGCTACGAGTGTTGAGCCGTCAAGGCAATGAGATAGGAAGAAGGAGGGCGACCTTCATAAGCCAAATTAAGGCGTTAAGCACAATCAAGGGCGCCATGGCCAAAAGTGTTGCAAATATGGCAACGATGATTGGAGGAGCCTTGAGATGGGGCTGTGCCAAGAAGCCTAGAGACATTGTTAGAGTCGTGGAATCTAGAAGGACGATCCCCACGATCGCGAAAATTACGTTTGCGAAAACCGCCAGCACATCAATAGCCACGGTAGCCATCACCGCCATTATTGTGAAAACCATCGACCACCACCACGATCACCCTCATGGGAGAAATGGCCAGAGCCACGATCACCGCCGCGATCAGAACAGGAGCAGCCATGAAAGGCATAGGAGTCACGGGAAACAACTATGATTGAGATGCAAGAATTCGGCAGAGCAAAAGGATCAGCAAGATAGAGTTTAGCAGTGAGAAAAAGAGCCTTAAGATCAGGAAAGAAGATGGGTTTGTCACGGGCTTGAGCAGCGGTAACATTATTCTCAAATTTGGGGTCGACATTAGACATGACAACCGGCACCATGTTATCTGTTGAAATAGGTGCTCCAGTAAGAGCCAATTGATTTGTAATACCATTGATCTTATCAAGAAAATCAAAAATTGAAGAATCACCTTGCTTGGTCTGGAAGAAAGCGGTACGAAGTTGAAAGATGTGACTCTAGTTCGTAGAGGCAAAACACTGCTGGAGAGCAATCCAAATGTCACAGGCAGTGGAATGACGAGCAGTCGCTGTGAGGGCCTAATGACCAAGAGAGCCATTGATCTAGGAAAGCACAAGTTGGTCCTTTTGAACCCATTCAGCATACGCATGGTTGGGTTTGGTAGAGACTTTATCAGTAGTGTCAGAAAGGAACGCCAAAGGGTAAGTGGAAAAACCATTAACAAAAGCCATCAATTGACGATTGCGAAGAACAGAAAGCAACTAAGCCAACCAACGAGAATAATTGGAAAAGTCAAGCTTGATGTTGATCGCATGAGAAACGGAGGGGAAGACATCAGGGGAAGGAGTGGTCAGATTGGTTGGGGCAGCCATGGAAAAGTGTAGGGAGGATCATTAAAAAAAAGACGTTAGTCATTGGCTCTGAGATACCATAAAAGATAATCCAAAGCAGGAATTGCAGAAAAGACATTAAAGGTAATATAAGGTAATTTGGCTCAATCCTTCGATACCTTGGAGGGTGCATTATCATTGATTTAAATAGTGTACAATGATTTGATTTACAAGTATAATTAATATACAAATAATACATAAGGGAATATTTTATTAATACAGGGAAATTTGGAAATCATGATGAAATAGGAAACAATCTCAAGAGATCATGAAGATATCATCTTTTAACATGTAGTGAATTTTCAAGCCAAACATGTTGACAACAAGAATTGGGTGATGAGAATCACGCGTGGTTGTTGGACTTAACAAGTGGACAAACCTACTATAATATTATGAAATAAGTTTGGGTTTCACCATAAAGCCAATAGGCAATATGGGGAGTAACTCAACCTCTTATGAGCCATTGCAAGATTTCTTCTCTTACCAATCTAGGACTTTTTTATTTTCACATACTCACACGCTTCCTCACATGTGGTGAATTTTCAAGTTAAACACAAAGACAACACGAATTTGGTGAAGTGGAGCACACATGGTGAGAAAGTTGAGATTCCACTATAAAACTAATTGGCAATATGGGGAATTGTCTAACCTCTTAAGCCCTTGCACGGTTTCTCCTTTCACCGATGTGAGACCTTTTTACCTTCACATTTCATAATTTATGTATTCATCATTTTCTCCTTACACACCTCGGCTTATTTATGGCTTTTAGAATGATTAATCAATAGAAAATAAAGATATAAATAAACATGAGTGCAAAAAAGAAAAGGAGTGTGCATAAGGCATTTCCTAAATGTAAAATGGCATGAGTGCAAAAAAAGAAAAGGGGTGGGATAAGTCTCACAATGGGCTAGCAATTATGTGGTCCAAATTCGCCTTTGGCGAGAATTGAACTTAATACCTCTCAATTACAAGTGAAAAGGAATACTACTAGACCATAGTACTAAGTGGCAATTACATGATGTTAATCCATATCATGAAATCGCACAAAATTAGTAATAATTATAATTACATGACAATCAATATATGCCACTAATCAGGCAGAAAATAAATGATCCCTTACCAAACGTGGACGTGAATTGCTTCTTGAATTATTCTAGAAGAAAAAGGCAATCAACCCAATTTTGTCGTGAAGAAAAAGAGTGCAGTTCTTTTGTTTAGGATGTTAAATGCCTCTATGTAGGGAAAGCAAGAACGTCCCCTTGGCGGTTGGCAAATCCTCACTCCTCCATCTATCATCTATCTTGCATGACCATTTTGCAATCCTCACCTACCGTCCCAAGAAACCAAAAGCAACTTGGAACTTCAAACTTCCTAATCTAAAATTAACTTTCTCAATGCATGTTTCTCTACCATTCTTTCTCATGTTATTTGAAACGAGGAAGATAAAATTAAAATAAGTGGATCCAATTAACTCCTTTTAATTTCACTAAAATAAAAAATGTTGTTGAAAAAGTTAAATTAAAGATCATTCGAAAACTTGGATGTGGATAAATTGGCTAGAGGATATGTGCTCTTCTATGCATCCAGTTTGAATTCTTGTTTCCTCAATTTTTGGTTCAAGTGATGTTCTACTTCTAACTTACTAACGCTATCGCTATATATATATATATATATATATATATATATATATATATAAAAACTGCAGAAAGAGATTCAAACTTGGGAGCACATATGCTCTAGTCAACTTGACCATGCCTATCTTTTGCATGTATTAGCAAATATTTAATTTCAATACATATGACATGATTTTATAGCATGGCATGGAGATGCTATATATGATTATTGGAGAAATAATTGGGTGGTTTTTACCATTATGAGAGACGTGATTGGTGAAGCCCATTCTGATGGGGACCGTTTAAATTCTCTATTTAAAGATATACATTACGCAAACCCTCCACAAAGTAAATTTTAGAGAGATCAGCCACTTAATTTGTTACGAAATTTCTCTACACTATCCTTGCTAGCTTTCACATAAACCCATTAATTTAATTTTTTTTCCATGGCATTCATCCTTCCAAGTATTCCAAGCCTTACTACTTTTAGCAGCCTCCAAGTCAAATTGGCAGCAAGCCAAGTGAAGGGTGAGCATGTTCCAACTGACATACCAAGACACCAACTCACCACTCTCATCAGATCCATCATCAACAAACAAGACGAACCACAACCCTTTTACGTTCTCGATTTGGGAGTTCTTGTCAGCCTTATGCAAAAATGGAACCGTTGCCTTCCCAACGTTCAGCCCTTCTTTGCTGTCAAGTGTAACCCTGAGCCTGCATTCATTGCAGCATTGGCAACGCTCGGTGCGAGCTTTGACTGCGCTAGCAAGGTGGAGATCGAGGCCATCCTTTCTCATGGTGTAAGCCCCTCAAGGATAGTCTACGCCAATCCATGCAAGGGTGAGAACCATTTAAGGCACGCAGCTGGAGTCGGGGTCAATCTTGCAACCTTCGACTCCATGGACGAACTTAACAAGATAAAAAGATGCCATCCCAAATGTTCCTTGTTGCTCCGAATTGCAGTCCCAAATGACACGAGCTCCTGGCGTTCATTTGGGACCAAATTCGGTGCGTTGTCCGAGGAGGTGGCGCCTCTCCTTAGACATGCACACAAACTAGGGTTGAGAGTGGTGGGAGTTTCATTTCACGTGGGTTCGAAAGCTTCGGAATCTCAAGTGTACCGTGGAGCAATAGCAGCTGCTAAGGCTGCATTCGACGTGGCAGATGAGCTCCAACTGCCCAAAATGCATGTGCTTGATATTGGTGGTGGGTTCAAGGCAAACCCGTTATTTGATGAAATAGCCGAAACCCTAAACGACGCTATTAAAGAACACTTTGGTGATCATCAATCGGAGTCTGATCTGGTGGTGATGGCTGAGCCAGGAAGGTTCTTTGCCGAAATGGCTTTCACAATGGTTGCAAATGTGATGGGGAAGCGAGTGAGAGGAGAGAAAAGAGAGTATTGGATTACCGATGGGATATATGGGTCGTTTAATCTTCCGGCATTTGATAAATCTTGTTTGACAGTTTCACCCCTCCTCCTTCACACTCCTGATCATGATCATCATTCAGTAGCCATATATTCGTCGACGGTGTTCGGACCAACCTGTGATTCGCTGGACACGGTGGTGGCTGACTGCAAACTGCCGGAACTGAAGTTAAATGATTATCTCGTGTTTCATAACATGGGGGCTTACACAAATTCGGTTGGAACCAACTTTAATGGCTTCTGCATTTCTGCTATTCCCACGTACTTAACATTTACAAGTGCTAATAATTAATAGGGAATGAAAAACGAAAACAAAAAAAATACGAAAGTATGTGATCGATCTTCCCTTCTTGTCTATTGTTATATATATGTACCTTGAGAGTGGCTTTCATGACCGAATCTTCTTTAAATTTCATTAATTTGCAATATAAACAGGTGATATTCCCGTTCCTTGGAATATTGGCCTTCGTTGGAACGGTGGGATACGATGGTTCAGCAACATATACAAACGGGAACGAATATTAAAAGAGCCATAGTATTTGGACATATACAACTGGGACAATGTCTAATTTAGGGGTTTCACATACAATAGTATAGCTATTTCTATTGTGAGAAATTTTTGTCTACTCAGAACACAAGGTGATATACTATGTGTTATAATCGAAGTGGATTATAGAGTCGTTTGTCTTTATATTAAGATATGTAGTATATATCGTAGACATCGAAATTTCGGTAAATAAATGTTGACCGATAAATCAAAGTTTCAACGCTCATGTATTACATAAATTTTACACGTAGCGTGTGTCTAAACAAAAAAATCGAAATAAGTTGGAAAAGTCATCAAACAGGACGCGTGTCAACGCCCGGCAGAAATGATTTATTTCATCTGATTATTTAATCCCAAAAATCAAGTTTTGGAATTCTATAAATAGAAGCCAATTTCATTCATTTGAGGAACCAAAATCATTAGGCAAAATTCTTGAAGCTCTGAAGCTCTGAAACTCCGAAGCTTTCAATCATCCAGGTTCCCGAAGAATCAAGAAAGCTCTCTTCGTTCTTCGTTCTTCGTTCATCGTTCATCCTAAGATCAAGCCCAATCGGCCCTTTGGATCAACAATCATCCATCAATTCAAGATCAAGCCCCGACGGCCCTTGAAGAAAGCGTTCTTCGTTCTTCGTTCATCGTTCTTCCAAGATCAAGCCCCGACGGCCCTTGGATCAACAATCCACCAAATCAAGATCAAGCCCCGACAACCCTTGAAGAAAGCACCATCGTTCATCATCCGTTCATCTTAAGATCAAGCCCCAACGACCCTTTGGATCAATAACGTCGACAAATCCACACATCCAACCGTTCTTCAAGATCAAGCCCAAAAGCCCTTGAAGATCTGTTCATCACCGTTCTCAAGATCAAGCCCAAAAGCCCTTGAAGATCCATTCATCACCGTTATTCAAGATCAAGCCTTAACGGCCCTTGAAGAAACACTCATTCTCAAGATCAAGCCCTAAACGGCTCCTTGAAGATCTGCTCAAATCCACCTTCAAAGATCAAGCACACGGCCCTTGGATCAACGAAACATCCACAAATCAACACCGTACGGAGATCGAATCAGATGATCAAAATAGAGAGAGATTGTAACCCAAAATCATCAAATACAAAATATTTGTTTGTGCACGTTGTTCTTGTCTCTTTCGTTTCAGGAATATTCCGTGTTCACAAATTGGCACGCCCAGTGGGACAATCTCTACCTCTCATCTCTTTCTCCGTTCAAGGAATCCAAACACACCTCAAAGTCAATGGCATCAAGCAAGGGACAAGTCATTCTCGCAACCACTGAGGGAAGGATGCTAAGCACTTTTCCCGCAAACGGACAATCCATTGGCGCCACAACCGCTCCTCAACATGCCACTTCAAAGTTGGTGCCGCTAAAAGAGCAAGGGGAGCATCAAAGGTGTGAGTCTGTCATCAACCTGACCTCGTTGGGGGCATCGAAGCATGCTGCTGAGGCACACAAGATGACATTCCAAAACAGCCAACGACGTTCTTCGTCAGCATCCTGGATGTCTAAAGGAAAGTCACGTCTATTGGTTGCACAAGTCATGACCATCGGCGTTACCTCAATCGTAGAACAACTGGCTTAAATGAATGAAGCGATCGCAAGGCTAACACAGATTGTTGAAGAAAAAGACTTGCAAATCGCTGCACTCGTCAGCTGACTGGAGCCACAGGACGACGAGAACCCCGACCCAGAGAATGATCCACTAAAGAGAGGAGATGACGAAGAAGAGAAGCCTTAGGTGGAGAAAAACGATGTGAAGCCAGAGCCAGACCAAGCAGCGGCATTCATGGGATATCTTTTTATCCAGCAGCTACATGAGATGATCACCAACACCATCAAGGCACAGTACGAAGGGAGCTCACATACCTCCTTGTTCTACTCGAATCCCTACTCCAATAAGATTGATGCCCTGAAGATTCCATGGGGTTATCAACCACCAAAGTTCATGCAGTTTGATGGAAAAGGAAACCCGAAACAGCACGTTGCCCACTTTGTTGAAACTTGCAACAACGCAGGGACCGAAGGGGACTACCTTGCCAAGTAGTTTGTGCGCTAGCTGAAAGGAAACACCTTTGAGTGGTACACGAACCTAGAGCCTGAGTCCATCAACAGCTGGGAGCAATTAGAGCGGGAATTCCTCAACCGCTTCTATAGCACCCGCGACACTGTGAGCATGCTAGAGCCAACAAGCACAAAGCAGTGGAAGGACGAGCCAGTCATTGACTACATCAACAGATGGGGCACTCTAAGCCTCGACTGTAAAGACAAGCTCTCGGAAACCTCTTCAATCGAGATGTGCATCCAAGGCATGCAATGGGGTTTGCAATACATCCTTCAAGGTATTAAACCACGGACCTTCGAGGAATTGGCCACTCGCGCCTATGACATGGAGTTGAGCATCGCCCATTATGGAGAAAGAACCGATCGCTGACTACAAGAACGACAAAGTTCTTGGGCCAAAGTTGGAGAAGACTGCGTGGAAACCTACCAAGGAAGCAATGACGGTCAACACAGCTCTCGTCAAAATCCCTACACGAGGCAAGGCGATTCAAACCAAAGCTTTTCGTTATCAAGAGATGCGTAGACGTACTTTGAAGGAGCTTGAAGAGAAGACTTATCCATTCCCTGACTCTGATGTGGTTGCCATGTTAGAAGACTTGCTGGAAAAGAAGGTGATCGGTTTGCTTGAGTGCAGATGGCCGGAAGAGATGAATCGTACCGACAGTCCAAGATACTGTAAATTCCATCGTTTCATCAGTCATCCAACTGAAAAGTGCTTCGTACTGAAAGATCTTATCCTTAAGCTAGCACAACAAGGGAAAATCGAGCTTGACCTTGAAGACACGGTTGCGGCACACACTACTACTATCGTGTTTGGATCACTCAATCCTGTGCATCTCCGAAGTATGCATGACCATTCCCGTCAATGTTCAAGTCACATGACACCTCTTACACAACCATCACCGGGGGCAAGCAACTAAGATGCATCTACTGGTGATAAGAAAGGGTGGACATCGGCGACCTACAAAAAAACGAGAAAGCCAAGACCACAAGCCACAAGGCCAAAAGAGAAGCCTAAACCCGCCCCTCGAACTTCAGTCTTCGAAAGGCTGAATTATTCAAAACCTAGAATTTCGGCACTTGATCGCATCAGTGGTCGATACCAAACTTCCGTCTTCAAAAGGCTTGAGACGCCAACACCGCAAAGATCCGTTTTTGAAAGGTTATCAAAACCCAAGAAACAAAGCGGCACAGCTAGATCTCCTCCGCAACGGTCGGCTTTGGACAGACTTGAAGAAACTAAGAAGCCTTCTAGAAACAGGAAGACAACGCCAAAGAGAGAAAAGCTCGACAGTCTAGCAGGAAAAGACGATGTTCAAAGCTTGATTCCTTCAAGGATGAAGCGCCAAGCAGCTTTGGAAGTCGACACAAAAGGACCATTGAAGGTAAGGAGGCGCACCATCATCTACACTGGCCAATCTTCACGGTAACAAACCCAAGAGAACCGCACTGAAGAGGAGGCCCAAGAAGACAAAGAAGACGAAATCCTGGAATAAGACGTCATTTCCGGCTCTGTCAACTCAAAATCTTCACCTCAATCGCTGGGGGCATGCTCCAAAACCATGCCAGTCAAGCCGAGTGAAGTTGAAGGATGAACTTATGTCACTCCGAAGAAACTGAACAAGAAGCATATGTCTTCTCCACAAGTTCACCAATGGGAAAGGGGGTAAAGCAGCTCCTGTCCACCTCCATAACAATGTGAAAGTGTTGGAGATAATGAAACTTTAACACGAAGATCATCCATCCCCATCACGATGCGTGACATCTTCCCAGAAGACTTCTTCAACTACTCAGTCAAGGCTCCTTGCTATGAAGATTGCGAGGAACGACTATCTCAGATCGCTTGACGAACCAACAAAGCTTCTTGTTCACACAAGCCTAAACTGCACGAACCAACGCTCTTGTTCCGCATGAGCATAAAAGGCGATACCAACGCTCCTTGTCTGCACGAGCTGAAACTGCAACATGGCACCAAATGCTCATTGTCTGCACGAGTTGAAACTACAAACGACACCAAACGCTCCTTGCCTGCACGAGTTAAAACTGCAAACGGCAACAAAAGAAAATACCAAAAAAAAAACAAAAAAAAAACAAAATATATTTGAACTACGTTATGACTTGATCTCTTCTTTGGAAGGGTACGTAGGCAACTCGAACGTTCAACTTCGAGTACAGTCACATCTAAATAAAAAATAAATGCTTTATTGAAGAAGGTCAATTTTATTACAAAAAAATAATAATAATAAAAAAAAGAGAAAAGGATTTCTTTTACAAACATATATATATATATATATATATATATATATATATATATGTATGTATATCCATCAACAGCAAGCCTCTCAAAAGGAGGCCATCCAGGCCCAAGTGGCAGCCCCCAAGCTCCAGCTTGTCTTTCCCTATTTCTCCTCGGCCCACGGTGCGGCCTAGCAGCTCACACTCTCCCACTTCCTCACGAGCCACGCCGAGAATCCAGCCGTGTCTTTCCACCCTCACATCTCCTAGAGAAATCAAAGAAAAGAAAAGCCTCCTTGTTTTGCCAGCAGGACAGAGCGATTTTTTTGCAAAGAATGCAACCTTCCAATTCACAACACCAACAATACCACCAGGTTCAAGTAGTCAACCAACAACAAATTCTATAGTGTTTTTGGTTTCTACAACGGGATTCCGAGGAAACCATCTCCGTTCCTACATCAAACAGTTGCAAGATTTGAGAAATATCTTGTCGAAGTGTCGCCAGTGGACTGAGGAATTAGAGCAGCTGCTTTTAGAC